TTTTTTCTGACGAGATCTGGGTTAAAAAACTTTTTTTATTATTACTGTTATGAAATACATTTAGTTCATAGCTTTGATCAAAGTTGTTGCAATGTGACATAAAAAATTTGCACATGATTTGAAACATTTACATATAAATCTTTGCAATCAAACCTGTTTCTTTTCCATTTGATGTTTTCAGTCAATGCAGATATGAGTATGACATAATTCTTGTGTTTGGAGCTTTTGAGCAGCAGGTTTAATCTGTTATTTCGAGTCGTCACGTGAACACCACTGCTGTTTTCCACTAATAAGAACAGTGGCTTGCCTCAAATCTTTGTTATTGTGAAGCATTTTAAAAGCGTTCTGTTATGCAGAACTCTTCCTGCTTAGCATTTTGTTAAATCGGAAATAAGAGGAAGGTTTTAAGTTTGAGCCCTCTCTTTTTGGACTTCATCACAGGCACAATGCTGCAGGGTCCGCTAGGTTACAGCCCTGCTTAAGGCATTAACTCCAGGGATTATCCCACCGGCCAAACGCTCGGTCACCAGCAGCACGCATCCTCTCATACAATCACTCCAGCTGACACGTGTCTTACATCTGCCCTGCTTTCAGACCTCTATAGGCAGGGAGATCTGACTGTTTTATTTGTCCTGCTTTCATGTGTTAGCTCTGGAGGGCACAGATTTTAATACAGACTATATTCAAGTTTTTCTGGAGGTGACTTGTTTCCTTTATCTGCTTAGCTTAGTAATATTTTTACACCTCTGGCCCATTCATTGTTAGGATAATGAGTGTTATATTAATTTTTGATTTTATTGATGCATTTGAACCATTATTTCTCTAAGATAAATTTGCACTCATTCTAACATCCTTTTAATGTTTAGAAGAAAGTTGCAGAGCTGCTAACCTCTTTCTGTAGCCATTCATAAGGTATGATGGAATATTTGATCAGTTTTAAAATATTTTATTATTAATTCAGGATAATAATAAAGAAAATAGAACATAGTTGATCTTAAAAAGGGAAAATGCCTTTGAAGTTTATGCATCTTTTGTAAATTAAAGAATTGTTGTGCGATTGATAGTGTCTTTTAAATCGATACTCTCAAATGTGACTTGATTCAAGGAAAAAAAATAGCATAAACATCTAATTATGTCTAAAAATAACTTATAAGAAGTGAGAACGCAGCTCTGTTACACAGTTATATTTCTCAATTGAAGTGAATTCTTTGTGGTGGACTGTGAAGGAATTGCACCTTTACAAAATGATCCTAACCTTTTAGAAAAAGATTTTGCAAGCATAAAAGTAAGAAAGACTTTTAGATAAGAGCTAAATTGAAACCTAATACTGTTTTCAACCAGTTGTAGGAAAGAATGCATTTAACTTTGTCACATTTTTATTTATTTGATCTAACCTCATGTTATTGCATTCAGTCTGTTTTGTAAACCTTCAAATCATATCTGTTTTGTTTGAACTGGGATTCTACACCTGTCTCTGAAATGAAGGAAACTTTTCCAACTATAAATGATTATTTCTGTAAAAAAAAAAAAAAAAAACATTAATATTTGGAGATTTTTGCTCTTGACATTTTTGCTTTGTGGTATTCTAGGATTTGTGAATATTATGAGAGCTAAAGGTTCAAAATATGCTGTGTTGGTGTGAGAAGTGACAGATGTCTCGTGTGAAATGAAAGATCCTTATCCTTGAGAAAATATAGATATTTTAAAGCTTGTATGAATGAAAGAGTGGTTTTAAGTATTAAATATATGTGCAAAAAACACATAATTTTTCCCCTTTCCATCAGGCCTGGCTGTATGTAGCTGATTATTACTGGAGGAAATAATTTGCCAATAATAACATGCAGAAAAATGCAGTCATTACCTTTAGGCAGAAAAAAAATGAGAATTTTTTACACATCTCTCTAAAGATTACCATAGTAGAATAGCGTTAATAAAGAACCAATGTCTCCAAAGGCTGGCACAAATCAATAGAGCTGAATGATATAAAATCTTTATAAAATTAAGGCAACATGATAATAAATCACTGAACCTAAAAAAGGTGGCATGTTTATTACAAATATATAATTTTCCTGCTGTGAATTTATGAACTCATTACTACGGTAGTTACTTATGTGATAAGTGAGTGGCTGCCTAGTGGATAGGGCATAGAGCTTGGTATCCAGAGGTTTTAAGTTCGAGCCCCACTCCCATTGGTTGCCACTCTGGGTCCCTGAGCTAAGACCCTTAACCCCACAATGCTCCCCGGGTGCCGCACAATGGCAGGCCACTGCTGCCCAAGGGGATGGGTTAAATGCAGAGGGTGAATTTCGTTACTCTGTACTTGTGACAGTGCAATGACAATTAAAAAAAGCTTAAAAAAGGAATTTTATACACTATGAATGAATATAAGGCCGAATGGGTGGTATTTTATATACTATAAAAAAGAATGAAGACAGATTAAGTGGATCAGATTCTGTGTAGTTTTATGGAGAGCTGCCTTTCCCGCCTGGTAAAAACCAGACTGTCTAAGTACATTTGGCACCTAACCAATGAGGCCATCAGGTTTTCTTTGAGCCTTTCAGAGACCTGACACTAGTGACACACCAGGCGCACTGTGCTGACAGCTTGATAGACGTGACCTAACAGTCTTCCTGTGAAGCTCTCAGCATTTTAATGGGAACTAAAGAGTAGATTTATGACTATTGCTGACAATATGTATTTAAACTTATTTCTAATTTACTAAATATTTTCAGTAAGACTTATTTTTTTTATTACTGCAGAATCTAATAACTGCTGTAGTCGGGCTCTGATTTAGAAGGATGTAGGCCTCTGAGCTTCGACATGTTTTGATGCCCAACCCAAAGAAAATTAATTTTTTTTATTGAATTATAATGGATTACTTGTTAGGTTGGTCTATATGTTAATGGAAAGGAAGTGATAGATGGTCAGTTTAACACATTCCCCATCAGGGGACTCCATACTCTTCTTGAAAAGATTAGGCCTTCCCAAAAAACAAACAAACAAACTGATAAGCACCTTATGTTTCAATCCTACTCTGTTTGATGCAATAAAATCACTGAAATATACAGAAAGAGATGCGATCAAATCTGAGTTCCCTTGGGTTTGGTTAGAGGCAAAACTTCATGTTTTGTTTATCTTTAGCAATGTGAAAAAAATTAAGCAGTTCACCTGACGTGCACTTAGGGATTTTGAAATTGTATTTTTCTTTTATTTTGCATCAGCTGATTCAAAAATGGAAAAAAAAACATCTTGGGGTCTGAGCCTTGGGGTGCTGCCCCTACAATCCCTCTCTAAAGTCTGTCCCAGGCCGTATTTGTCCAAGAGGAAGAAATGTTGAGCCATTACACTACTTCCCCTTCTGAGCATAGCATATTTAATATCAATTCATAGTCAATATCAATATATAAACTAATGCAATTTTATACTATAATATGAAATTTCTGATCATTAGTAATCTGATCATTTAATACACATTGTCCACATTTGTATGACCAATTTTGCTGTATTTTTCTCATATATATATATATACATATATATATATATATATATATATATATATATATATATATATATATATATATATATATATATATATATATATATATATATATATATATATATATATATATGAAGGACCAACTCTGCCATATTTAAAAATAAATACAGAAATAAATAAATGCTCAATAAATGTATAAGCATACAATTAATTGCCAACAAAAAAGTGAGACATAAATGTATATAACTCTTAATTAGCTTCTTTATTTATTTGCCTTTGTAATATTTACCTTATTTATTTTTCTGTCCTTTATAATCTTCAACTTTATTTTTTAATTACTTATATTTTTAAGTATTTATTTATGTGCATGTTATAATATTTTTGTCTGTTTTATTCTTCCTTTGTATTTTCTTACCTTAGTTATTTCTTCGCCGCTTTTTATTTCTCTCTGCCCTTTTTACATTTCTCTATGCATTTTTCCTCATTATGCAAATGAGGAGGGGGTGTGTCCTAGAGAGTCAACTTCTGCTCATTGGTTGGCTTGGCGGCCCATCTTCTTAACTCACAGAGCTCAGAGTACTAAGTTAAATGTTCTCTTTTCTGTTGCTGTTGTTCAATTAAAGTATGTTTTAAGATCATTTGAGGCGAGAACCTTATACTTTTAAGCATCACCATATGGCCCATTCACAGATTTAATGCGTAATTTAAAAGAAAATGTGACGAACTTGAGAGGACCGTGGCAACCAGCGGAGCTCCGAAGCTGACGGCAGCTTATTTATTTCTGTATTTATTTTTAAATATGGCAGAGTTGGTCCTTCATATATATATATATATATATATATATATATATATATATATATATATATATATATATATATATATATATATATATATATATATATATATATATATAGATAGATAGATAGATAGATAGATAGATAGATAGATAGATAGTAGCAGTATGGCTGTCATTTTGATTATATATAACAGTTTGGTTGTCATTTTGTTAACTATGCAAAAACTGATTGACCAAAGTAAACTAAAATTGAATGTTATTGAAACAAAACTAGCTTGTAAAAAAAGTAGGAATTGACAACAGAGATATCAGCTACTGTTCAAGTGTTTGTCTTTAAGGTACTTAGTAGCAAACATTTTAGATTTAGGTGTTTTGACTGTATGACTGTATTATTTGCAATATATATATTTGTTTTTTTTTGTATGCTGACAAAAATGTTCATCCATGTCACATTTTTTAGTTTTTAAATAATTAAGTTAGGAATAATTTGGCAAAAAATAACACAGATATTTACAATTTTATAGATCTAATATTTTTGTTTTTGTTTTCCATATTTAGGGACTTAATACAAATTTCAACACAATAATAAGTATTTTTTTTAATTAAAATTAAAAACTGAAATGTTGAGAAGAAAAACAAGTTTGTGTATGGGGACATCATGTCTCCTTTTCCAAACATTCACTAATCCACATTCTCTCTTTTTTTCAGTAAAGAAAGCCAAACTTCATGGCCCACCAGGTAAGAACCTATTCAAATATTCTGCTTTATTTTTTATGCTAGCCTTCATGAATCTCTGAATTAGAGCATATTTATAAATAAATCCATCAAATATTTTGTTTGCCACCTTTTTTTTTTTTTTCTTCAGACCTGACTTAATTGTTGGTGAAATTCATTTAGTGAAGTTCAGGTGACAGTACTATAAGATTTTGGTAGTAATAAATTAAATGATAAAATGGGTGAAGATTCCTTAACTTTCTGTTTCACCACATCTCAAAGGTGATGTATTGGAAAGTTTGAACTGTGACAGCTGACATGTTCAAGAAACCAGTTTAAGAGGATTCATGTAGACCCTGGCATTTACAGAATCTGCGGTGTCATGACAGAAAACCCAAAAGTCCGCTCAGACACACAAAGGATGTTTTTTGCATTCTTTTGAATAAAAAAAAAACTGGTGCAAGTTAGGAAACCACAGCAGGAGTAGACAGGAAATACCATACAAAAAGGAAACAGATCAGTGGCTGATAAAGAGTCAAGGCAGAGAAAAAAAAATTTATTCAACTAATTTTAATTTGTAAGGATTCAATGGGAAGACTTGATCCAAATGAAGTTTTCCCCCAAAGCTGTTTGGTTTGATAGATGGCCTGTACTTATATAGCAGCTTTCTAGTTTGTTTGAATGCTCCCATTATCTGCACAACAGTGGAGTGTTCTGCTCCTCTACTAAAACAGCTCAGTGAGAGATGGACAGGGAAGAGCGTGGGAAGTGAGAACGTAGTTTAAAGCAGAGTAGTGATATATGGAATCATGATGTCATAATCTCCAAGGTAAATGCACTTTGTTTTAAATGGAAATACATTAAATGTAAGCAGTGTTTATCCATCCATTTTCCATCCGCTTATCCCTACTGAGGTCGCAAAGGGTGCTGGACCCTAACTCCAGCTGTCAGTGGGCAAGGTACACCCTGGGGTCAACAGTCCAGCGCAGGGAAACACAGAGAAAGACAGGACAAACAACCATTCACACACACATTCCTAAGGCGAATTTAGAGAAGAAGATAAACCTAACAGTCATGTTTTTGGACTGTGGGAGGAAGCCGGAGTACCCAGAGAGAACCCACGCTTAGGGAGGATATGCAAACTCCTTGCTTAAATAAGCCAGACGGAGAATCGAACCTGAAACCTTCTTGCTGCAAGTGCTACCCACTGCTCCACTGTGCAGTCAATGTAAGCAGTGCTTAGTCTAAAAGAAGCATTTTCAACAAAAATTCATTGAAGATTCTATAGATCCATAAAGCGGCTCCTGAAAAAATCCTGCAGTCTGTGTTCAATTTTAAAATTTTATATATACATACTTTGACCTTTTGTGGTTCCTTTAGGTTCATCTGAAGACATCTTGGTATATATATCTTGCTTTCAATGAGTTATTAATGTCTCACTGTTACAGTTTCCCTTTCAACCAATCAATTTGTTAGTCTTGGTGCCCAGTCTCCTTTTTTTCCCAGTCAGGTCCATTTGTACTCTTCCTTTAAGATTTGTACGACACTATGTAAAAAGAGGAGATTGCACATAACTATTTCAAACATTCCTAACAGATAAATGCAATTAGGAGGCACTTTTAATGTCGTTTGGCTGCAGCTGTTTGTCCCTTCAACTTGTCTGCAGGCAGTGTTGAGGGGAGAACAACAGAAATGAGTGGGAGAATAAGAAATCAAACTGGAGGCGGAGGGAAGACAAATCAATAGATCATCACAGACAAAGGGCCACCTGCTTGCCTCAGAACAATCTGTCATTCATTTTTAAAGGAGAACATGGAGAAAAATCTTTCAGACACTTGAAGAGAAAAACTCAGAGTCCAGAGTATACAGTAATTTGTGCCAAGTAGTTTTGAGGAGAGAAAATACAGGAGTTTGTTTGTATATTTTTAGTCCAATGACCCACTGTTCTAATATCCTGTAAAATAGACAGATCTGCCTAAAGTGTTAGGAAAAAGTTGCCGTGCTGGACCATTTTTTTTGTATCCCACTCTTCTTTCTTTAAAGTTATTTGGTTGCAGTTCTTCTACAGTTTGTAAACCAGTGGACATTTTTAACTTTTTTCAATCTCTGGATATTGAAGTAAAGAGAAAGTAAAGCAAAAACAAATATTTGTATTTCAATACTAAACTGTAAGGAGGTCAAGAAAGAATCCTCTTTTAAAGAAGTGTTCAAAAAGATGCATCTGTCTGGTGGTTGCTCACTTTTAGTATACAGCTATCTTCTTTCTTATAGTCTGTGGTTTTTGGAGATTTTCATATTTTAAGTATAACCCTTGCACACACACACACACACACACCTACACACACACACCCACACACACACACACACACACACACACACACACATATATATATATATATATATATATATATATATATATATATATATATATATATATATATATATATATATATATATATATATATAGTTTTATTTTTCCAAATAGCCTGGTTTTGGCAGCAATTTGCATATTCCCCAGTGATTAAAAAAATCATGGAGAAAAATGATAAAGGTAGGGAATATAGAGAATGATAGCGAAAGGTCTTTACTACAGGCCGCTCGGTGCAGCAGGGGTTAGCACTGTTGCTGTGCAGCAGGAACGTTCTGGGTTCCATTCGCAGCCTGGGGTCTTTTTGCATAGAGTTTGCATGTTCTCCCTGTGCATGTGTGGGTTCTCTCCAGCTACTGCGGATTCCTCCCACAGTCCAAACACATGACTCTTACGTTAATTGGGTTTTCCAAATTCTCCTTAGGTGTGAGTGTGTGTGTGGTTGGTTGATTGGTTAGGTGGTTATGTGTCTCTGTGTTGCACCGGCCCCACAGCGACCCTGACACGGACAAAGCGGAAATGGATGGATGGATGGATGGATGGATGGATGGATGGATGGATGGATGGATGGATGGATCTTCAATATCTAACATGGTTCAAAATTCTGCTGTAACTCTTCCTACATATCAGTTTATATCTGCTTCAACACCATATTTCATATGAAGTTTCATCAAGTTATATTATCTAGAATATAATTAAAGCATGTGCCCCTTCAACATCTTGTTAAACTGTTGAGATAATGTAGAAGCTCTGTAGTCAATGCTTCAGAAAATTGACTTAACCTTTAACTGATTAGATGGATACACTCGCACTTTAAAGACCCAACATCATGGGTTAGACAGAACAAACATTATTCAGTTCATGTTGAAACAATTCTGGTGATGAGAGTCAATGTAATAGTTTTACAGGAATGACATTTCTTCACTGAGAACCATGACCAGCATATCGCCACACTTTCATCTATGGATGCCTGTGAAGCAGTGCGGTGATGTGAAAAAATGTCAAGAAAATCTGCAGAGTAGAGGAAAAATGTTTACATTTTAGATGCAGACAACTAAAACTCTCCCCCTACTCAGATCTAACCAATATCTCAGACAGAGGTTAGTTCATTCTAAAGACAAAACCCTTAAATATAAGCCGAGTGAAACAGAGTGCGTAGTTTACAACAGCAAGGAATGTTCAGATCTATAGGCAGCAACCTCTTACAACCTCTTCTTATGCATGACTCTATACAGCAGAGCCTTTAGAGCAGAGGTCACGGATTAGCGGACCACGGTCTGGATCTGGTCCCACCTGCTGGCTAATCCGGACCAAACCTGATTTAAAACATTTCTAAATCAATGCACGTTGTTTGATGGCTGCGTCTAATTTCCCTCGAGCCGCTTCTGCTGTTAATACGGTAAAGCCCCCCAGAGCGTCTGACACCGGGCTGCACGTGATACAAATTAGCCAATGAGCTGCTGTCAGTCTGGGTTGCTGCTGCGAGCTACTTTTAGACACAGCAAGCAAACCTGTAGTAAGCAGTGCAGTGGGTAAGAAGGAGAAGACAATGAGAAGAAAAGAGCAGGGAAACTGGGAAAAGAAAAGTGAAATGGGGTGCTCAAAGATGATCCTGAACATTTAGTATGTTTGGCTCAATCTGCTGCTGTGAAGCAGGATTCTCCACCATGAACATAATTAAAAATAAATATGGATCCAGGCTCAAAATGAGCACCTTGATATGTGCATTAGAATGGCTTTGTCTCCATTCAAACCCAGGTTTAAAGCCTTGCAGGGCAGCCTAAAGCCCACTGCTCTCATTAAGCCAGAAAAAAGAAAGAAAGAAAAAAAAAAGCAGTCAGTGCAGGAGTTTTATAAAATATGTGAATCAGGAAATTGTTTATATACTGAGCTGAACGATTATTTTTCTCTACCTCAAAAAACACTTTTAAAATGAAAAAATAATTTTTCTTTTATATTTTTAAAAAGTCAATGTATAATATGGATTCATAAACACCTTATTTTATTTCAGTTTTAAGTTCTGTTTAAAGTAACAGATTATAATTAAAAATGTCTCCGGACCTTAACTGGTTGATGATTTTCTTTATTCGGACCCCGCTGATTTTTAATTGGTTACCCCTGCTTCAGAGGTTCAAAATGTCTGTAGATTGTAAAACATTAAGGATGATGCCCAGACAGTTTTAAACAAATTTAAACCGTCTTGCATTTCTTCATTTTGTATTTGTCATCTCTTAATGCAGTTCCCTCAAGAGTAAAACTATTAAGAGGCTTTAAATGGTTTTTAGGGTTATTTACTACATTTAAGAGGTAAATTCGATTGAGACCAATAAAACTCAAGAGTTATATTTTTTTAAACTTCAGCCTCAAATTGAGCAAATTTTATTTTCTGTAAACCAATTTTACCCAGGATGCCACTCTGTCTGGTGACACACATATTTGTTTTAGATCAAGCACAGTTTGTAGGTTTTGTGCCACTCTAATGACCCAGTTGGGAAAACATGTTCTGGTTTATTCTTACAGTAATAGTAAGAAGCAAAGGATTTATTTCCACTGATGAATGATCCCCAGAGATAAGGTGACCGGTTAATTTTTCATTTTAAATGGCTGTTATTATAAAGGATTTACCCTGATTTGCAATGGCGCATAAAAGTTTCCA